TAAAGAAATCAACCAACAACAAATGTTGGAAAGATAAAGTAGATGTTATAAAAATTAAAAACTGTTGGGGCCGGGAGGATGGCTCAGTGCAATAAATCTAGTGGTGAGACCCTGAACACCCTGTAGACCCTTCCGTAAAATACAAAAAAAAAAAAAAAAAAAAAAAAAAAAAAAAAAAAATTAAAAACTGAGACTGGCAAGATAGCTCAGTGTAATAAAGAGTCTGCTTAGGCAAGTGCAGGGACCTGCAGTTCGATCCCTTGCACCATATGCTATGCCAGCCCCATCCCCAGGGCGGACTGGGCCATGTCTGGGAGTGACAGTACATGCCTGTAACCCCAGCACTGCGGAGGCTGAAAACAGGAGGATCACTATGAGTCTAAGATGCACAGTGAGACCCTGTAACAACCAAATACATAAAAAAATAAATAAAATAAAAATTAAAAACTTACATAGCTGGGTTTGGTGGCCACACCTGTAATCCACAGGCTATAACCTACACTCAAGAGGCGTAGGCAGGAAGATGAAGCAAGTCCAAGGCCAACCTGGCCTACAAAGTGAGTTCTAAGCCAGTCTGACCTACAGAGCAATAACTTGTTGAAAAAAAACCCAACATACATACATAGTACAACAGAATATCACCAAGAAAGTGGAGAAAACAGGCCTCTAATCCCAGCACTCTGGGAAGCTGAGGCAAGAGGATTTCAGACTGGAACCCAGCCTAGGTAACTTAAGAGAGACCCTGCTTCAAAATAAGAAAAAACACACGAACAAGAAAAAGGGCCTGGAGAACGAGCTCAGTGTAAAGGTAGTGAGTTTAGGGCCCAGTAACGTGCACATATGCGCGTGCACACACACACGCGCACACACACACACACACGAAAAGACCACCACAGAATGGGAAAAACTCAGATGTGTAAAAGTTATGAAGAGGTAAATAAGATACGGAATATCCATACAACAAAATAAGACAACATAAAAAGGAATGAAACACTGATACACACAACATGGATTATGCTAAATCAAAGAAGTGAGACACAAAAGCCTACTACTGTGTAGATTCAATTAAGTGAACCGTCTAAGAGGCAAATCTACAGAATCAGAAAATAGGTGGTTTTCCAGGGCTGGAGGGGTGAGAGTAAAAGGTAGTGACTGCTAACAGCATGGGATTTCTTTTGGAGGTGAGAAAATGCTCTAAATTATAGTGATGGCTGCACTATACTGAAGACGCTAAGATCCACTGACTTGTATACTTTCAATAGGTAAAGTACACGATATGTAAATGATGTCTCAAGAACGCTATTGCAGGGCTGGTGAGATGGCTCAGTGGTCTAAAGCACCTACTTGGAACAAGCTTGGCAAAGCACAGGGACTGAGGTTCGATCCCCCAGCACCACATGCCAGCCAGCCCTGCCCCCTGGTAGGCTGAGCTGGCCACACACACATACATACACACACACAAAAATAATAAATAAATGTTTAAAAAAAAAAAAAACGCTATTGCAAAAGACAAGAGGGCTGTTGAGCGGCAACGAGATAGCTCAGTGGACTAAAGCTCCTGCTTAGGCAAGCACAGGGACCATGTTCAATACCTGGCACCACATGCCACGCTGGCCCCAGCCCCAGGACTACTGAGCAGGTGACCTAGTCTGGGCATGGCGGTATGCGCCTGTAATCCCAGCGCTGGGGAGGCTGGAAACAGGAGAAGCACTACGAGTCTCAGCTGCACAGTGAGATCCTGTACCAAATACATAAATTAAAAAAAAAAAGCACTGTTAGATGTGGCCCGTTTGCCTTGTACACGTGAGGCCCCAGGCTCAAGACAGCAACAAAACATCTCTCTTACCTTGTGTTTAAATGGCAAACACCGCTGAAGTTTTACTCTTAAGCACAGCCCTTGAAAGAGAGAGAGAGAGAGAAACTGATTATAATGTCCTCTTCATTCTTATTAGTTCTTGCAGGAGCAGAGCTGTGTCTACTTGGCCGCTGAAGGCAGCTCTGCCCCATCTAGTGCAAGGCTCCTTTGAGCCTGGCCCCAGGCTAGGAATTAAGACACAGCTTCAGGTTTCTCCTGCTGCTCCAGTGGGCGAGGTATTCCCGACTCTGTTCTACAATGCAACCAAGGTCACAACGCATGGTGCCTAAGGACACTGAGCTAGAAAAGTGGGTCTTAGGGCTGGTGAGATGGCTCAGTGGTCTAAATCACCTACGTGGAGTGAGCTTAGCAAGGCACAGGGACCGCGGTTCAATCCCCCAGCACCACATGCCAGCCGGCCCCGCCCCCTGGTGGGCTGAGCTGGCCACACACACACACAAATAAATAAATAAAATTTAAAAATAAATAAAAAATAAGAAAAGTGGGTCTTGCTATGCAGTTCAGGAGCTCACTTCGTAGCCCTGGCTGGTTGCAGTAATCCTCCTGCCTCTGCCTCCCCAAGTACTGTGAATACAGGCATGTACTACCAAAACCACCACCGAAAAGCCATTTTAAAAGGGCCCTGTGAGGGGCTGGGGAATTAGCTCGGTGATCTAAGTGCCTGCCTGGCAAGGATCTGGGTTTGATTCCTGGTACCACATGCCATGCCAGCCCTGGGCGTGCCGTGTGGGCTACTGAAACTGGGTACGGTGGCGCATGCCTGCGATCCCAATGCTGGGGAGGCTGAGATAGGAGTCCAAGCTGCACCGTGAGACCCTGTCCCAAATAAAATAAATAAATAAAAGGGCCCCGAGAGACTTCTCAAGTTTGAAGTTTTTATTCCCGCAAGGCACATACAGGGCTAGCTTCCAAGAGAACTCTGCTCAAGTTCGGCTTATTGGCCCTCGCTCTAACCACGGGCCAGTCATTTCTTTTTCCACTTCAGATTTGCAGCAACAATTACAACTGGACTTGGGACAGGTCCTTCATGCTACTGTTCCACTCATTCCTCCACCAAATTAAGGAATGAATTTTTAACTAAATACACTGTCCTAGATAACAGAAAACAAATCAAATTACTCTTATGATGAAGAAGAATACTTCAGTAAACTAAAAAAAAGCTGGGCATGATGGAACACAGCCGTAATCCCAGCACTCGCAGGCTGCGGCACGGGGCGCACTGGTGGAGGCCAGTCTGAGCTGCACCGTGAGTTCAAAGCCTGCCAGTAAAGCAAAACTCTGTCTTAAAAGGAAAACAAAAAACAACCAAAAACGCATAAACCTATCTCTCATTTTGGTTTGACTGAAAGTAAGTCAACAATATAACTCCAAACCATCCTAACACAAAACGTATAACTGTTAGACAAGCTATCTTCTGGAGAAGTATGAAATTAGTTCATTTTGGTTTTCTACATATCACTAAGTTTTCTAACAGAATCTTTTGAGAAACCCCAGAGCAGGGCAAAGGACTAGGTGAGAGGTGGTGGCTGTGCCCATCTCAGAGTATCAAATACAGTTCCGGGTGCTGAGGGGGTAGCTCAGGGGCAGAGCACTTGCCTAGCTATGCCAAGTCGCTAGGTTCAACCCCCAACACAGCAAACTAAAAACCAAACCAAAGCAGCAGGTCTATAGTGAATATTAGAGGCACTGAAAACCGCAGCATGCCCTTCACAGCCTTACAGACAGCCACGCTAGACAGACATATTATGGCCATGCTGGGGTCGGCCCTCAAGGGACTCAGCGCAGAACATCAGAACATGAGACCACCCCCAACTGCGGCTGGAGGCACATCTGAAGAAGATTACATGATGGCCGGATTTACACACTCCCAGGGGGTAAATGAAGCTTGAGATTTCTGACACTGCCCTTTTGGGGTTTCCCCTATAGTAAAACATTATCTCAGTGGGGATGGGCTGTCCTCTCCCACCCACCAAGACTAGGACTGTAGATTACCAATTAAGGTTAATGACGTCATCCATGCACACGTGCTATGACTTGATTCCCCATTGGATCAATCTTTTTTTTTCCATTGGATTGATATTATGTAAACAGCTCGACCTGTAATTTTACTGGCTGATCACAGTTTTGACCCACACTCTATCAACCTTTTTTGATCCTGCTTTTTGAGCAGTAGGCTCGTTTGGACCTGGCCAGGCCCTTGTCAGCCTCAGGAGTTATTCCTATTCCCCACCCCTGTTCTCCATTACGTTTCCAGAATCTTTTTGTTTGCTTGTTTGTTTTGGTCCTTTGGAGACAGGGTCTGACTGTGCAGTTCAGGCTGGCCTTGAGCACACTTTGTAACCCACGCTATCATCCTCGAACTCACAACAATCCTACGTCAGCCGCCCTGGGGCTGGGATTACAGGGGCACACCACAACAAGCTAATTTTCCTACTCTTCTGATTTTCCTTGGAATTCATTCTTCAACTTCCAGGAACATGACAGACATCTAGCAGGTTGGGAGGCCCATCTATTTCCCCTCGGTCATGTGCAGGTCTCAGATCAACAGGACTGTCCAGGATCTGCCTTGGAGCATGTCTGGGAGCGCTCCGTGCTCCGGCCCGTTCACTTTGGTACCTGTGCATCACACTGTTGTTTTTCAATTCACAGAGCACATCATCCTCAAGAGAAGTGCTGTCAATGGCTGATGTAGCAACTTGGTTCCAACGTGGCACATGTGGCGCCGTGACATGTTGCTGTGTTACTGGGAAAGCTCCAGTTCTCCAGGCTTCACTCTCCTCACTGTACAGGTGACCACGATGGCATTACCACATACAGGGCTGCCACCAGGAACAAAGACTAAGCAGCGTGCTTAAAACATCCAGGCCCACAGGCCCACCGGGAATGTCAGCCGTCA